GACCTTGCCGATCTCCTCGCCCTCGAAGACGACCATGCCCCTGGAGTTGACCACGGCGTCGGGGAAGGCCTCGAAGGGGGCCGACTCTGTCATGACTCGAGCTCGTTCTCGGGGATGGGCTCGGCGCGGCTGATGACGGCGCCACTGTCGTTCCAGATGGCGCCCGTCTCGTCCACGCGCTTGCCCACGAGGTGCCCCGGGACGCCCTCCTTGATGCGGTCGACCACTTCGCCGTCGCCGTTAACGATGTTGCCGCACTTGTTGACCTTACCTCCCTTGAGGATGGAAAAGTCGATTTGATCAGCCACGTCTTCGGCCGCCTCACCGGCCTGCTCGCCGGCATCCGCCGCGGCGCCCTTGGCACCCTCGGCAGTCTCGCCGGCTTGGACCTCGGTCTCGCCGAGCTTCTCTTCTCCTTCCTTGGCAGTATCCTCTGCCCTCTCCTCGCCACCTTTGACGGTGTCTTCGGCCTTCTCCTCTCCTTGATTGGCGACGTCCCTGACCGCACTGACGGCGGAGCCCAGCTTGCTCACGCCCTTTTTGACGGCGAGAGCGACGAGAGGGCTCCTCCGGAGCAAAGGGTAAAACCAGTACGCGGGCTTTCATGGCCATCGGTGCGCTTTTCGGCGAGCAGCATTCTTTTATGCACGATCTCGAGTTATTCTTTTGGGTCGTATTCCGGATAACTATGCGTCTATTACGACGGGCCAAATAAAAGCAGAGTCATTCCGGAGTTTGACAGTGGAATTACATTAATATGGAATTGTTGGTAATGGAGAAGGGATAAGTGTCTTATGAAAGTGACTTTATCAAATCCGTGGAAAAGAACTTCACGCCAGACTACCAGCCATTGATACCTTGGGACAGACTACGGAAAGCGGTATTTCCGAATGGTAGGAGATGGGAAAGACAAGGGATAGGATTGTATGCTCGGATAAGGGAAATCGTTGGGGAAGCCTGCAAGGATCCAAAGGTGTCGGCGGAAAGATAGTTTCGCGGATTATAGTGATCGGAAAATATGTAATGCTGCCGACTTTCATCCTGCAGCATGATCGACCAATTGAGGTATTTAGTACGACTGCAAACAGATTACCAGAAACCTTAAAAGACGCAGAGCTTTCACGCCCAATCGATCGCGGCTGCGATGCCCTCATAGGCCTTCCCTTCGCCGTCCGAAGCAGGTAGCCAAACGCCAGGCCAGAAGCCAACCAGAAGCCAACCAGAAAAGTCGTAAAAAAATGCCGATTTGATAAGCTGTGATCCAGACCCGCTTTCAATCTTGGCAGGGCAGCGGGGAGTGCGGTATAACACAGGGCCCAAGCATGGCAGTTACAATAGATTGCAAGCGCGTATGCCTTCATTTTTGTTTGCACACACAATTTTAGAGTTTCCGGGTATATGAACCACTACATCATTCTCGAGGTACAGGGTTCCCTTTTCAAATAACTAGCCGGGCAATTAGGGGTTCATCTCTGGAGGAGAAAGCATTGTGGCAATATCACAAACGAAGCACTGTTGTCCATGCACAACCCATTTCGCGCAGTCGCCAGATCTAGCGCCCGATGTTCAGGTCACATCCTACGGAAAACCTCCCAGAACCTGAGTGGTAAACTCCGCAGACACGCCGTCGACGTTCGAGACGGAGCCGAAGCAAGCGCCGAGATGGCAAAACGCTAAGTCACTGCAGGGCGGTGTATTGCAGATTCACATTAAGCACGCTGACTGCGGCTCCGAACCAAACCTAAAGTTTCTACGAGATGCTGCCAGGTCGCGCGACACATCTTCCAGGCGGGCCTAAGTTGCCAACTGGCGACGGGTTGGTGCACGGGCCACTGTTACGGCGCGCGCACTGGTCACGGTCCGCGTCGAAGCGCGTTTAACACGGGCCGGCGTGCTTCGTACGTGTTGGTAGGCCTGAGCCAAGTGCGTCGCGACCAGGGCGGCGTAAAAGAGTGCTTTGCCTCTGAATTGACGTATTGGTAGACTTGACTTTACGTATAGCGAAACAAGGAATCCGTATGGTGCTCGTCCGCACCGTCCGCAGGATTCCCGCCGACTTGGCGTTTCTATGAGCCTGGTCTGGGTGCTTCCCGATTGTTGATCCTCACAACTCCCTGCTAGCCGCCGCGAGAAACTGGGGCAGGTTACGGGGGCGGGGGGAACTAGAAAAGCAGCTAGGAGGCACAGGCAGCAGGGCGTGAAAATCACTTAAGATGTGTGTCGCGTTCCCACGCCTCGCTTCTCACCGGGGCTGTAGAGTTCTCGTCTTGCTGGAGAGACCCGGCTAGCGTTTTTATTGAGCCTACGTTGAGATGTTCGACGAAGATACAGTCCCAGGATCGGTCAGACTTCCAAAGCGATCCACGGCGGCATGGCGTAAAATGCTGTGATTGCCAAAAAGTGTCAGCCATACCTTTTGCCACAAATATCGGCTCCTCCACCAGGCCCTTTAGCTTCTATCCATGAAACATTGACGGCAGAACAGTCAAGGCTCCGTACGCCGTGACAAGGCAAGCCGCAGAACATGACGATCAAGAAGCGCCGAGATCACCTCTAAAAACGCGTTGGTGCACGGGTCACAGTCCCCGATGGCGGGAGTAGGGCCGTGCACAAGCGTGGAGTGATCGCGCGGTAGCGTGCACGTACGTCATGTCGTGCTCCGCGTCGTGCTCCGCGTCGTTCTCCGCGGCAGCTCGGCGCTGGTCCGCGTGAATCACATTTGCTGCTGCCCAGCGCGACGGAACGATGCACTTACTTGGTTAGAAGATCGTGACAAGGGCGGTACTAAACAGTACTTTGTTTAGGATGGGCTTGTTTAGGATACTCCGCAGACAGGGGAACAAGGCATCCATTTTGCCGTTGTCCATACCGTACGTTGCGAACCAACCTTGCCGATCAAACGACAGCTGTTCGGCTCTGCATCCCTACGCGCCTAAACTGCGCGTAATCCCCAATCGCTGATCCTTAACCTCCCTGCCAGTCGCGCAGGACGCTCTTACCCTCAAGGGTTGAAAGCGGAGGGGTAGATAAAATAGGCGGGACCGCATCAGCCTGTACGGGTGCCGCCTCGCCCTGGCTGGGCCGCCCTCCGACCTGGTGAGGTCTTTTGCAGTTGAGCGTGAAGGCGGGCGCGACCCGTCCGTTTCCTGACCCCGCCCGCGCACCTGGCCGTCGCAAGACGAGGTGCCGGCCTGACTCGCGTGTGTCGCGAGCCGCATGCCTGCTTATCGAGGCTCAAGGCTGACTTTCCATCGCATCTCCACTCGTTGTCAGGGCTAATGCTCCTTTTATAAATGACCGACCATGCCCTCCCACGGCCGATTTCAAATGTAGCTGTCACCATTTGCTCTTCCTCGTTCCCGCAACTTTGGTCCCTATTCTGGCTCGCACATTATGTCGAGCTCCTCGCCGGCAGGCACACTATTGGTCAACATGTTCGGTCTTTAGAAGGAGCCAGTGTGCCATCATGCCAGGCAAATGGTTGGCAAAGCACACCGGCATTGCTGATCTCTGCTGCCGTACAGGACGCGCAGCCCAACATTTCATCGAAAGGCCGGTTGACAGCATTCCGCCGCGAAGCTGTTCCAACGGACAGCGGTATTGGCGCTGCCTGGCCTTGCAAATCTCACACCCCAATGTTTCCTGTAACAATCCTGCATAATGCATGTGAAGGAATCCCACGTCCGAGGCAAATGGAGCCACATAGGTAAACAAGGCTTTTCCGGTCGCAGGCCCCGGCATGGGTAAGGTTTACGACATGTGGAGGGAGCTCTGGGTTACTGGTAGAAGTAGACTACACCCGGCGCGATAAGTTCTTGGAGCGTCCATCCGCGGGTGAACCAGCGCGCTTTGCAGAAGCTGCTTGCCTCGGAGTGGGGGTTTTCCTCGGCGTTTACGTCGCTTAGGAATGCGTAACATAGGCCCTCCCTTTTCCCCTCCAACAATATTGCCTCCAGGATACATACACAATGCGTTCAGCCGGCCCACTGCCTTTTTCTACACCACAACACATCACAGTCATAGACCGCCGGCCATGGTGATGACGGTGATCAGGATAAGGGCGAAAAGAAGCAGGACTTTTGTGGACGCCATGATGAACTCGGCCTCGCCGTACCATTTGACGGCAACCAGGTTGACAATAATGCACGAGAACATGGCAACGGCGATCCACGCGGCGGGATTCGTGCTGGAGTCCCAGTACCGGATAACGGTGGCGATAGCAGGGTACTCGGTGCAGACGAGCATGAGGCTGGCGAAGAAGTATGTCCAGCCCATGGCAAAGCCGAGGGCTGGGTCGACGAAGCGGCTCGCGAGCTCGAAGATGGAGCCGCGGATCGGCAGGTAGGCGCACATCTCGGCGACGCACAGGTTGAGCGGCCAGATGTAGAGAAGTCCCCAGAACGTGTAGCCAAGAGCGAGCGACAGTGGTCCAGCCTTGGTAAGCACTCCGCCGATTCCGATCCCTGCTCGGGAGTGATTTTTCGTCAGCAATCATGTTCTTGTTCCCCCTTTTATCTACGCACCACCACGTAAAATGTAGCTCTCTCCAATCTTGATGTTAGCTGCTCAGCTACCAGAACACAAATGTCGTGCAGCCATACGCCGGACGGCCGAGCAAGGGGGCTGATTGGAGGAGCTCGTTCTTCAACATCCTCAACGCTTGTAGAACAGATTCGACCTTTCAGTCACACCATCAATGTTTCCCTCTTCTACTCATTGTAGTGTCATATAATCCTGACGGCCTTGTCCTCAAACTTGGAGAACCACATCTTGCGGTCCATTGGGCTGTACGGGGCTCTGCCATGAACAGCAAGGCCGACGCGCTTAAACGTCGGGAGGTCCTCGGGGCCGGCTCCCTCCTCTTCGCAACGACGCAACACTAGCATTATCCTGCGCTGGATGAGGAGAAGCCAGACTCCAGCAAGATCCAAGGGAACATCCAGGGGCTTCGAGGTGATGTCCCCATCCTTGCCGTCCAAGAAGATTTTAAGCTGGAAACGCCAAGCCGCCTGATGTCTGGGTAGTGGTCGCATGCCGTCCTCACTGTCCCGGGTCTTGCGCTGGCAGTGGCCGCCATTGCCATTGGACTCATCCTGTGAAAAGTCGGGGGAGGGTTGGTGGTACTCCAGGAGCGACGCATCCATGAGAGGGCCCTGGATGTCGAGGTAGCCGCCAGAGATCTCGCCGAACGTGCCGGTGCTGCCGGCCGCAACGACCTCGCAGCCCAGGACCTTGGCCTGGCAGGAAAGGTCCTCGTCCACCCGGGGGCGTCTCTGGCCGGTCCTGAGCCTGCGCCTCCGAAGCTGCGGGCCAGCGCGGCGCCAACCCAATGAGTAGCCCGGGCCGAAGTTCACGCTCCCGTCAACGGCGGCCCACGACCACGACGGCGCCCTGTACCTCGACGGAAACCCTCGCGGGCCGCCCCAGCCTCTGCGGGCCGGGAAGCCCACGTGGACCCAGAGCAGATTGCTGCACATGGTCTTCCTCCACAACCCGGCCAGATACGTGTCCCCGGTCCGGTCCTGCATCGCCCTGGCCAGGCCCGCGATGGCGGGGAGCTTGTCGGTCGCGACCGAGATCCGTCGGCCCGAAAAGTCCTGGACCAATTCACGCCAGCGGAACCCCAACTCTTCCCCCGTAACCCCCGTGAGGAAGCGCATGGAACCGGTCATAAGGGCAATGCCGTGGTTATCGTTCTCCGTGTTCTGGCCGTGCTGACACTCCCAGGAGACCCTGTCGCGGGTATAGATCAGGAGTCGCCGCGACAGGTGCCGCTCCTGCAGCGTCCAGCCGCGCCGGTAGAGCGGCTCGCTCACCGGTTCGACGAAGCGATCCTCGCCCGCCCGTGCAATGCCATTCAGCTCTGGATAGCGCCCCGACCTCGGCGAGACGTCGATGCCGGTGGCGGTGACGTCGTAAGGTCCCGGGAAGACGCCCTGGTCGGCGCTGGCGGCCCAGGCCGCGGCGACGGTCAGGAAGGCGCCGTAGTAGACGCTGTGCATGCGCCTTGCCTCTTGCTCCCAGTCTTTCCTCGCTTCAGGGGTTGGTCCCTGCAGGATGCAGAGGGCGTCGACCCAAAGATATGCGACCCCTAGCTGTCTTGTGATGGCCACGGCGTCACGAATCGTGCGGGGGAGCACACGCTCTCGAAAACCCTGCGTCTTTCTCACCCCGATGTTTTCCGGCGTGGTCACGTACGGGAATGGCACACGGCCCCAGCAGTAACTTAGCGCAATATACGGCGGGGAGGAGGAGGTGGTGGCGGCGCTCTCCGGGAGTCGATTAGACTCGACGAGCCTGAGCTGGACAGGATTGGTAACGTCGAGAAGCCTGGAGGGTAAGAAGCTCGAGCGGGATGTCCAGTGCTTGCATTCTGTGTGCTCTTCCCGCAAGTCTGGATCCATCTGCGTATAATGCGGTATTGATCCGCAGAGGCCGGCTTGCTTAAGCGGACTGCAGACAATGTAATGCGATTTTGGAGAGGCGACCCTACCAGCTCGCAGCTCACATAAAGCAATACGGTCAGATGATCAGAAAAGCAGCGTAAGGTTCGAGTCCCAGGTTCATACCTGTCCAGGCAGAGAGCCGAAGGTAATGTAGACAGAACTGGTGACTCTCTTGTTTCTGGCCTGCACATATGTTTTGGTTCCACGGCAATGGCCGGAACGTCTTGAGCAGCGGCATGTCGATGGTCTGACTCGAAGACGTTATCCAAAAGCCCTCCGGCCGCGGACTCGAATCAGGGGCCCTGGCGGAGGTGAGCATCCCCGTAGGCCTCGTGTGCCTGGCCCAGACGCGGACATTCTCGCCTGGGCCGGGGGCTCGGCGCATGCCCGCGCTCGGTGTCTTGAGTCGTGGCCACGAAGTGCAGTAGGCAACGCAGACTTGGAGCTCTTGCGCGACCAGCATGCAGAGGCGGCAACTGCTTCTCATGACGTCTCTCCGGCGTCCGAAGTCGAGCCCGGCATCCGAGAGCAAGTCATCCACCGAGAGCTCTTGGCAACGCCCGCAGAGAGCATCATCTCGTGAGCTTCTACCCATGGCTCGGCGAGAAATTCGCTCCGGATTCGAAGAACGCCCTTGATGGTCCAAAGGGGGTGCTCTCTTGGTGAGGCGCTATGGGGAAGGCAGGGGATTGTGAGTCGGGCAACGGGTTTGGTTCAGTGGTAGTGGCAAAGCCTTTTTTTGCTGCCCAATGTCAACGGCAGCGACCAGAGGCGGGGAAAGGCGGACGACTGGGCGCCACAACGCCCATTCCCTGTTTGGTAAGGCAGATCGGGAGCTGAAAGGACGCGCGTGGTGGCTGAGCTCGCTAGCCGCCAACCTGCCGTTTGTCACTGGGGAGGGTTTTGTGGCTCAGCGGCCAGGCCTGCAGTGTAACTCTACCTTAGCCAGCCGAAAATATCCCTTTTCAGAATAGAGTGGTGTCGCATTGGACCCAATGCTAAGCTCTCGATTCTTACTCGGAAGCAGCTTTCAGAGGCAGTATACCGACACGTTTGATCTTTTCCCTTTGTCCTTCCGCTCTAAACATCCAAAATCCCATTGCCTTCCTCCTTGTTGGAAGACACTCTTTGTGTTAGTCAGACCTGGTCCCCTCCCCGTCTTACGGTGAAAGGGAAAGAGGGGGGGGGGGGAGGGGGGGGGAGGGGGGGGGGTTCAAGCCACACCCCTGCTGGGAGCGAGGCGATCATGATGTTGTGCTCTCCCATCCGGCCCCAGGTGTACGAGTTTGTATCGCTTGGGTGCTGTGAAAAACCTTGAGGCTCATGGTGGCGCTCATCGAGCAATGCGGTCGCCGCGGCGCGTTCGATGGGGAGCGCCGCGATCCACCCGACGGTGTAGTGATCGGCGCTATCCAACGTCATCCGTGTCATGATTGGAATAATCCGAATGGATTGACGAAGATTCTCGCACCGAAAAATTGTCTAGGATCTGTTCGCTATACTCGCTGTCTTGAGCGGGTTCTGGTAACCGTGTGACCTGATCGCAACGGCGGCAAAGATGAGAAGCGAACAGCTGCATTCTGTAGCGCGGGGTTAGGCTGAAAAGCGGCGGCTAGCTCGGTTGCCTGTTGGTCGCCCAAGTGAGAGTTGTAGTGGCACTCTTGGACAATGGGCAGCAAGACACCCTCTTTCATGCAGGGCAACTGGTGCAAGTCATCGCAAGATGTGACTCCGGCCTAATTTGGATGTAGTTACCTGGAACGCCAACAACACCCGCGATTCCATGCACGTTCTGGGATTGGATGCCGCATCCGTGCGCATTACGCACACTGCAGGCAGCAGCCGCATAGCTGTGCATTAAAAGCCGCCAGGACGGACTCACGCGTTCTTGGTTCTCGTCGCACAGCACCTGCAGCGACGCACTCTCAACAGCGACTCACGCGACACCCTTTACCCACCGTACGGCGTTATACTTCCTGTTTGCGATGATTGGTCAAATGGACGACCTAAGGCAGGGGTCGCTTAACGATAGACAGTGCTAGGAGGAGGACTACACGCCACGGTCACCCATGGACAAGCTACTTTCTCGCGTACGACAATGTTGGGCTGAGTTCTGCAACGACTCCTCGATTTCCGACCCGGTGACAGGGTTCAAGAACTATTCACGACATGGGACCCGGTTCTTGGAATATCTGAAGAGGAGAGATTCCTGCGACGACACGAGTTTGGGTTGCTATCAGCGCTTTTCCAGGCACCTGGCTGAGAAGGATTTGGGTGGTGCACCGGATGAGGAGCTGGCATCACCATTTGGACAACTTGTGGACGAGTTACAGGCGGTGGAAGAGACGACTCGAGGGGTGTTGGAACAGTGGGTATACTAGTGGACAATTGAGTGGACACTGGAATCGTTGAACAGAGCCAAAAATACAGGACGCTGACCTCTGGCCGTCCCCTGCTTCAAGTGCTTGGTGTTCTGCGTCTAAATAGCTGCACCCCCTCCAGTTTCACTGACGTGGGAAATTGGCCCAGTTCGCGTTGGCTGGCGTCATCGAATTGTTGCCTGCGCTCATGGGCTTGCCTATGTGAGTCTTGGCGGTTTAAATCGGGCGGATGGGTTGCAATTGGTGGGGTTTGCGGATCGGGGCCGGGCCGTATCGGCGGCAGAGTGGGGCCGGAGAGCCTGCAGGCGGGAACATCCAGATGGTCCTGCTTTCCTTTCTCTGCCTTCCTTGCGCCTTTTAAGTCCTGCCTTCTACTTACCATATAATTTTTACGCCCGACCCAGGCCTCTTAAATTTCTCGCCTTGCAGTCTCCGTCAACCACTTTGTCCGCAGTCAACTTCTCCCACAGCGCTCCTGCGTTTCGCCGGCTGTCGCAATCACCACTCGCGCATCCCAAGCTCTCCTCCCCAACAGCGCTGCATTGTGCCGGCCTACATTGCCTCGGTCGGTCGGGGCGCTCCCGCGGTCTGTAGATCGCGCAAGTTGGGTTTGGTAAGTTCACCCTCGACGCCAAACCCAGCTCTCCGTTCCAACAAATCTCGGCCGCTTTCGCTCGCCTACTTGGCTTTGCTGACCTGCCTGCCCTCGATTCAGCGCCCCGAGCCACCCTCCCTCTGAACTTGGCATTAACTCGCGACATTCCTCAAAACATTCGCCGACTCTGGCAGGCAGCCACGCTCGACCGACGTCTCTCCAACATCGCAAGCATCATACAAACTCGGCCCGTTTCTCTTCGAGTCGCCTCGCATTATCAGGGCGGCGCGAGTTTCACCAGGAGGGCAGGAGCGCCCGTCCCTAAATAAGCTCCTTCGCCATCGATGCTTGTACATCACTCAACAGCTGCTCTCCGCTGCCTTCCTTCTCGGTCGTCCCACCAATCCTCTTCATTCACTCTTCTTTCAGCAGAGACAGTCACAATGCCTCCTGGCGTCGCTCCACCGAAAGTCGCGACCAGCGACCAGCATCGCTCACTGGGCCGAGATGATGGGAGAGCAACTTGGCATTGCTGGCCCCAAAAGGGACGAAAGGATCTTCGCCACTCAACCTGCCAACTCGTGCTTCTCTTCGGGCTCCAGCCTTCCCGAGAAAGAGTACTTCCTGTTCCGGGTTATCTGGGACCACCAGAAGGACATCAACAACTCCAACCAGTACATGCGGAACAACCTGACTAGAAGCTCGGGGCAAGCGAAGCCAGCCAGCACCTAGGGAGTTAGAAGCTATTACAGGGCAACAGGGCAACGAAGAAGGTGGTGATGGTCTGTATTGTTGTGTGGGAAAGGTGGGATGCGCTGGCGCGGGGCGCCAGGGAAACGGTGTGATGGCATTGTCGCTGGACGGTCTGCAGGGGGTGGCCCAGGTGGTGGCCCGCCCGCAATAGAAGCAGGACTTCGTGTTTCAAGGAATAGAAATGAATTGTCAATACCGGGTCGAATGGTAGAACAAATCGTTGGTGAGGATCACAATGCGGCACATGGAAAGGCGGCACATATATGCGGTTCGGCATCATCGGAGCACCGGAGCCCCACATCGGAACGCCGCCTCCTATCCGCCGCCTTCGGCCGATTTGGGATGGTGTGTTCCTACCGAGGAGTGCCGAGGAGTGCCGCCAGGTCGCTCGTTTCCTCAAGCCCGATGGACGAGGTCATCCCGTCGCCTACCTCTATCTCCGGCTACGTAGGCAGAAACGCGGCCTAGTTACAACTCACAACTCTCCCGACAACTCTCCTCCCAACTATTGCTCTACACCAAAGGATGCCGTGCCTAAGATATCGACGCCTCTCTTTACGCGGCACCCAAGACTACGGGAGACATGCGATCGTTGTCCGCAACCAGCACAATTTCCGCGTCTTGAGCCGATGGTGCGAACTTGCCCCTATACGATTGATTGGGACTCGGGGGAGAACGTTTACTAGGTATCGAGTCCTCGTGCACCCGCGCTGCCCGGCGCATACGACATAACACCTGCCTCCAGCGTTGTTGCACCAGGGGATGGAAAACAAAGACTTCGAACTACGCCGGCCCAAACACGCTATCACGTTCGCTGCACTCCAAATCTTGTACGACCTGGCTTTCGACAAGCTACCTAGTGGAGCAGTCGGCGAACGAACTTTTGTCAGCACACTCAAAGTCGTCGCCTTGCTCCTGTAGGACGCCTAGGTTGTGGGAGGCAGCCGAGATAATGGGAAGACCGACCAGAAACGAAGAAGCCGAAGTCCGCATGTAGTAGGGATCAGGACGAGGGCCAGGGCGATAACGACGACGTCCGAGCAGCGATGGTCCTTCTACAGGACTTTCCTTCCTGCGTCTGCGCACGTCCGGCGAACCATACCAGGCTTACGAGATGCACAAGCTCGCGCAAGAGGCTACGCAGTGGCATGCGCTGTGCCAACCTTCGTCACACTACAGCGCAAGGTATGGGCCTGCGCCGCCTTAACTCGCGTATCAGGGCCTCGTTTGGAGGAGGTTGCTCCTCTGAATTCTCCCAGCTGATCCATCGCCCAATCCATGCCCGGACCCCCACTCTGGGCCGTGTCTCTCTGTCCCGGTGTTCAGTCGGCCTGGAGTGTTTGCTGTCATGAGACACCGCCGAGGGGTTGCATTTTTGGTCCTCAGTCAACTTGGGGTGCTTGCCGCCGGGAGACGCTGGTCGGCCATTGTCTGAGCTGGCCATGTCTTCTTCCCAGCGTTCCTGCTCCATTTTCTGTTCCACCCTCAAAGAGGTATCGGAGGGATCGGGGGAATAGCGTGAAGGAGAAAATTTAGCCGCAAAAAAGGTGTTAGCTCGAGAATCAGGTAACTTTGTTGCAGGCGGCAGCCAGCCAAAGAAAGTGGTGATGGAAATGTCTGTGGATTGTAATGTTCAAGGGGGAAAGGAGGGATTGCTGGCATACGGAGAAGACAAGGACAACCGAGATGCTGAGGAGGCTCTAAAGTACGCAACCAAGAGTCGTCTCGGCGCTGCACCAGAACTAGACGGGGAGCTTCAAATACTTAACGAGAGGTCCTTGACTTCTGCAACTGAGAGTGGAGAGACGCACGAGCCGCTGTCGGAAAAAGCACACCGGTTGCTGCCTTCGAGGGATTGGGCTGGATGCTGCCCGCCATGAAAGGGAGCAGAGCCACTGGAACATGGGACTATTGATGCTTCGTTCTCAAATTGGGATGGCTACGCGACGGTTTCTGCACAACAGCCCGACTACGTGTGATCCCACGGCGCGTAGACGAGGGTCTGCCGGATGGCACGTGTGCTTCTGCATCTCTTGCGAAATGCGCTACTACTCCTTCCACGAAGCACTGACAGCCTGCGCTTCGTGGAGGCTTCTGCATGGAGATCCTTCCTGCCTGGCTCCGAGCAGCATCTTGAGATTGCCAACGGCGAGTCCCCAAGTGGATCGTACAGCCACTGGCGCTCTCAGAAGACTGGAGTGTGCATCTACAGACGCTAAGCTATCCGAACACAGTCAACGCTGTCGCCTTCTCGCCGGACGGCCGGCTGATCGTGTCGGGCTCTGACGACAAGACGGCCCGCCTATGGGATGCGGCTACGGGGGCCGAGCGTCAGCCAATAGGGGCAGTGGACCGGACCCACCACGGACGCAGCCAGCTGCGTCCGTGGCGGGTCCGGTCTTGGCGCCAACGAGCACTGTCACCGTTTTCACAGAACGCCGAGAGTCAATTCCGACGCGGACTCCGGCATCGTGCGAGCGACACGGGACTCAATTGCTAGGGGCCTATGGCGAGCATTGGGTGAGGCGTCTGGCATCGGATAGTCCTCATCTACGCTGGAATGAAGACTCGTGTTGCCAAAACCCCGGAGGTTTGGGGCCTGCTCTGGGAGCTGTTTTGATCCCAGTCTGGGTCCGAATGGTGGGGTTATGACAGGCCGCCGCTGGGATTTTGCGAGCTACGCAGCAAGATCCTGGGGGTTTTCAAGGGAGGATGAGCAGGGGGTTCTGGAGGTCACTGGCATTCAATCGGACGAGGAAGGGGAGGACTCAGCCAGCCTTGATGTTTTGTCTCCGCACAGAACTCAAGATAAAGCCAGGATGACACCCATGAATTAAATACTATCTGGTTTAGGACCCTCGCACAGCCAGATAACCAAGCAGCAGACTCCCTAATGTTATCCAGGAACTCGTAATCGCGAATGCACCCTGGATATCCACCTTCCAAATAGACCAAGAAACACCAAACACTAGGCTCGCTGTGACGATCAATACAACAACAATGAAGTAAATCGATCTCCAATGCCATCCCTCCTCGAAATATACACCCCACCCCAGTGCCAATTCCTCACGCGACGCCGCGAGATGCCCCGATGCATGTTTGGGCAGCTGGTTAAAGATCGTGGTCTGCATTTCCGAAAGGCATTGCGGATGTTTGAAGTAATGGATCAGGTAAATCAGAACCACAGAAAACTCTGACCGGCTACCGGCGCGGCGCCCCAGATAAGCGGTACCCCATATCGCGGGGGAGG